TTCCGTCTATCCCTAGGTGTTTGAGGATATTTATCAAGGAGGGATGCTGAATTTTATCAAAAACCTTTTCTGTATCTAATGATATATCATGTGGTTCTTGTTTTTACATCTGTTGATGTATTTAATTGCATTTATGGTCTTGCAAATGTTGAACCAGCCCTGCATCCTGGGAATGAAGCCTTCTTGGTCATGGTGGATGATTTTTGAGATGTATTTTTGGATCCAATTTGCTAGAATCTTATTGAGGATTTTTGCATCTATTTTTATAAGGGATATTGGCCTGAAGTTCTCTTTCTTTGTTGCATCTCTGCCCAGTTTGGGTATCAGTGTGATGTTAGCTTTGTAAAATGATTTGGGGAGAATTCCATCTTTCTCAGTTGCCTGGAATACTTTCAGAAGGATTGTTATCAGCTGCTCCTTGTATGTTTTATAGCAATTTGCTGGAAAGCCATCTGGTTCAGGGCTTTTTTTGGTAGGTTGTTTTCGTATGGCAGAGTCAAATTCCTGGGTTGTTATTGGTCTATTTAGTGTCTCAATGTCTTCTTGTTTCAACCTGGGGAGGTTGCATGATGTGAGAAAGTCCTCTATTTCATTTAGGTTATCAAGTTTGTTTCCATATAGGTGTACATAGTAATCTCTGATAATCTCTTGTATTTCTTTGGGGTCAGTGGTGATTTTATCTTTTGTATTTCTGATTGTGTTTATTTGGGCTTTTTCTCTCTTTTTCTTGGTCATTCTGGCTAGGGGTCCATCAATCTTATTTATTCTTTCAAAGAACCAGCTTTTTGTTTTGTTGATGATTTCTATGATATTTTTGTCTTCTGTGTCATGGGTATTTGGGCTCTTATTTTGGTGATTTGGATTCTTCTGTTAAAGTTGGGGTTTTGGTGGTCTTCTCTTTCCAGCTCCCTTAGGTGGTTTGTTAGGCTCTCCACTTGTGATCTTTCTGTTTTCGTGTTGTGTGCTTGTAGAGATATCAGTTCCCTTCTTAGAACTGATTTCATGATATCCCAAAGGTTTTGGTAAGATGTTTCTTCATTTTCATTTGTTTCCAGGAATCTTTTAATTTTTGCTTTGATTTCATTGTTGACCTAGTAGTTGTTCAGCATCATGCTCTTTAGTGTTCATGTCTTTGTGGGCTGGGGTAATGTTGTTGGTGTTGATATTTATTTTTATTCCACTGTAGTCTGAGAGTGTGCATGGCAAGATTTCAACCTTAGGGAATTTGCTTATGCTTGATTTATGGCCAAGGATGTGATTGATCTTGGAGTACATTCCATGTGGTGATGAGTAGAATGTATATTCTGTGGTTGATGGGTGGAATAATCTGTAGGTATCTATTAAATCCATTTGATCGAATGTCAAGTTTAGGTTCTGGATCTCCTTGTTGCCTCAATGATCTATCTAGGGCTGTTAGTGGGGTATTCAAGTCCCCTACTATAGTAGTGTTAGAGTCAATATCCTTTTTTAGTTTACTTAGTAGTTGCTTTATAAATGCTGGTGCTCCTGTGTTGGGTGCATATATATTTAGGATAGATAGTTCTTGTTGATGAATTGAACCTTTTATCATTATTTAGTGTCCTTTTGCATCTTTTTAAATTTTTGATACTTTAAAAGTTGTTTTGTCTGATATTAAGATTGTGACGCCTGCCTTCTTTTGTGATTTGCCTGGAAACTCGTTTTCCATTCTTTAACTTTGAGTCTGGGTGTGTCCCTTGTAGTGAGTTGAGTCTCCTGGATGCAGCAAATAATTGGGTCATGGCTTCTTATCCAGGTTGCCAATCTGTGCCTTTTCAGTGGTGCATAGTTCATTCACATTCAGGCTGATTATTGAAATGTGATTGTTTATTGTTGTCATGGGGTTCTTATAAGGTTTTTTCTTTACTTGTTTTCTTTTGGCTTTGGGAATAATGTATGTATGTGTTTTCAAGTTTCTTGTTGCGCTGTATTATCTGTTAATTCTCTGCTCTGCTGTTCTTTTGGAAAGTGTGTGTGTGGTCATTCTCTTTTTCTTTTTTTCTGTGCTTAATACCTTTTTAAGTGTCTCCTTTAGAGCTGGTCTGGAAGCTGCATAATCTCTTATGGATTGGATGTCTGGGAAGGATTTAAATTCCCCATCACTGATGAAGCTCAGCTTGGCTGGATAGGAAATTCTTCGTTGAAATTGTTTATCTTTGAGGACATTGAATATAGGGCTCCAGTCCCTTCTTGCTTGTAGTGTTTCTGCTGATAAGTCTGCTGCTATTATGATTGGTTTTCCCCAGTAGGTAGTCTGACCTTTCTCTCTTGCTGTCTTTAAGATATTTTCTTTTGTGCCTACTTTGTGTAGGCGAATTACTATGTGTCTAGGCGTTGGCCTTCTTATTTGATGTCTTGTGGGGGTTCTCTGTATCTCTTGTGCTTGGCTGGTCACATCTCTGGTGAGATGGGGAAAGTTTTCTTGGATTACCTCCTGGAATACTTGCTCCGAGTTGTTCTCCATTTCCCTTTCTTCTTCTGGGATACCAATCAGGAGTAGGTTCGGCCTCTTGATATAATTGCACAACTCTTATAGGTTTTGTTCTTTCTTTCTGAGTCGTCTTTCTATGTTTCTTACAGATTGGGTTAATTCTATGTTCTGGTCTTCAAGTTCTGAGATTCTTTCTTTGGCTAGATTAATTCTGCTTTCCATGCTTGCCATCTTATTATTTATTTTCTGGATAAAATTTTTTATTGCTAATATCTCTGTTAAAAGTTCTTTCAGTGTTGCATTTTGTCTTTCTTGAGTTTTATTCACTCTTTCCATCCATTTCTTAATCTCTGTCGTATTCTGGGGTCAGTCATTGGTGACTTCCATTGTTTGGGCACCAAGGTCTGATTTTTCAGGAGTTTGTCTTTGGTACTATTGAAATTGCCTGAGATCTTCCTTCAGTTTCTCTTCATTTGTGACAGATCTCTTGTTTTCTTTTTAGTTCTGTTATTTAGTGTCAGTGGGAGAGGTTTTCCCTTCTGATGTTTGCTCAGTCCTCTATTCTTCCCTGATCTGGGCTCTGGATTTGTTCTATTTTGAAATAGGATGGTGGATGGGAATCTTTGCTGTCTCTTGTAGTTTTTGAAATTCGAATAAAGTAAGGGATGGGGTGTTAGGATTCAGAAACGACTTGCAAATTGCAATGTTCACTTATTGTGGTATGTGTTCCCTGAGACCCACTCCCCACCACCACTCTGTATGATGATGCACAGCAGAAACCAATGCAAAAAACAATTGAACACACACTCACAGAGACATGCACGCACACCCCAAAACAAACTGGAATAACAACAAAGTGAAACAAAACAAACACCAAAAACCCAAGAAAACTAAACACTCACACACACGTCTAGCATTATGAAAAACAGAAAGACTGGAGGGGGGACAAATGGAATTCAGGTCAAATCCTCACACATATATTGACATGCACCTTAAATTGTAAGAAATGAAAATTAAAAAACCCAGATGAACAAAAGAGCAAAAACAAACCAACAACAACAAAATTGAAAGATTGCCGCTCAGCCATTTACATACACACATAAACAGAAAACAACAAATAGAACAAAGAAAAGAAAAAATATTTGGAGGGGGAGCAGATCAAACCCTCACATACATGTTCATGCACAAAGGAGAATATTTAAAAAGCAGATGAACCACAGTCAAAAAAAATTTTTTTTAATTGAAAATTACTTTAAAAACCTGCCCTCTTGTGGCAGACACTGTAATTGCTCCTCTAATCTGATCTCTCCTGCTGCACCACCTCTTTCACTCTCTTCTCAGTGTCTAGAGGAGGGGCAGTGGAGGTGGGTGGGGCTGTAACCCTCCCCTCCCACTCTTGTGTGGTGGGAGATCTCCCCTGGTTGGGTTGTACAGAATTGTCTCTTCCCCAGGTATGTACTGGGGATGGGGATGGGGGTGGGGGGGAAGTGCCTCAGCCAGGCCTATCCTGGAATGGAGTTCTATTGAGACTGATGTACAGGCTCTGCCTGGGTTTGTCTCTCTCAGTAGTGGCCCAGCTGTGTGGGTCTGACGTTCAGAGGATTGTTGGGGAGGAGGGGGTTTGGGTCTGATCTCTTTGTGGTTCTTCCTCGTCCTTTTCTGGCTACACCCTTTGTCCAGCAGCTGGATCAGGGTAGGGGGTGGGGCGCCTGGAACTCAGCACTGGTCAGGTCCCTCTGAAGTTTGTGCTTTCAGGGTAGTCCCTCTGGGTCATGATCAGTCCCTGAGTAGTTGATCTGCCAGTCACAGAGACTGGGCCTGTTGCTGCGCAGTGAGCAAGTCAGAGCACTTTCCTGCCCCGCCTTCAAGATGGTGGTGGAGTGCCTCTTTTGCCCTCTTGTGGGACTTTGCCTCTGGGCTTCCTCTGCAGCCCCTTCTGCCAGTGCCATGCCGGATGCTGAAGCGGTGAGGCAAAGCCAGGAGCTGGCAGTCTCTCTCGTGCTGCACCGGCGAGGGAGAGCCTGGGGTGATATTTTCTCCTCACCACTTTTGTCAGTTAAAAGTAAAATAATGGTGATAGGCTTCTGTGATCTGGCAAGAGCCAGGGATGAAGCAGAGAAGCTGCAGCACCAGCTGGTGCACCGGGGCCTGGCCACTTGCTCACGAGCCCCCACTTAGACGGTCTTTCCCAGCATTTTCTTCCCTGGGAGGGTTTGTTGATTTTAAAATAAAGAAAAAAATGAAAGAAAAAGAAAATGGCACTCGGCTTCTGTGTCCTGGGAATTGCTAGGGTCCAAGCCTAGCAACTGTGGCACCAGCCGTTGCACCAGGAGAGCCTTGGCCACTAGCTCCTTAGCCCTCACTCAGTCAGCCACTCACATACCCACTGGCTCACCAGCACGTACGCACCATTTTCCATGCACTCACTCACTCACACGGGGACTCGCATAGTCCGACTGGCTCAGCTGCCCTCTTCCTGACCTCTTTGAGATTCTTTTTCTTAAGCTCTTGATCAAAACTTTTTTCCCACTCTGTTTTTCTTTTCTGTAGTTGTCAATTGTTTATTCAGCCAGCTGGAACCTTGGAGCATCAGTACAAAGAATCCACCACTTACATTTCCTGGAAGGAAGAACTTCATAGGAGCAGAGAGGTCAGATGCGTGCTGCAGTGTCCATCAGTGGAAGTCAGCTTCTTGCCTCTCATAGTGAATACAGTTGCTGTGCCCGATGAATTAAGCTACCTGTGTGCACGTGGGGAAGACTGGGATCCGGCTTACATCATTCATCTTTATCCTCCTCTCACTTTGCGGAATCTTCTCCCATATTCTCTAAGATATTTACTTGAGGTGTGTCTCTTGCATTTTGGTTGGTTTTTTATTGTTGCACAGAATATATTCTGACTTTGTTCTGTGGTCTTTTAAATTGAGGTTAGTGTTTTATATTGCATATTGGCAATACTTTAATAATATTAATGGTAGCAAAAACGGGCATAGTTTTTACTGTGTGCCAGGAACTGTACTATGTTCTTTACATATATTAACATCTTCAATCCTTACAGTAACCTCCCGAAGTAGGTACTGTTATTAGATCGATTTTACATATGAGGAAACTTAGTTGCCGAGTGTTGAAGCGACTGGCCCAAGATCCCACAGCTACGAAGTGTTAGAGCTGGGTTTTGAGCCTAAGGAGTTTGGCACCTTGATCCCTACCACTTTCCTCTGTGTGTCTGCTATAAATTGAGAACCATCAGCATCTCTTTATTAATTAAATACAATTGTACTCCATTATCAAAGACCAAGGAGAAAATACTTCATCTCAAAGTTTTTATTTTAAAGTTAATATTACAAATAGTTGGTTCAAGGTTCTATAGAAAATAAAAGTAATTACTGTTTGTCTAAAAAATAATAAAGAACATTCTCTGGGAATGGGGCATGATAAATATTTTAAAATTTCTACTTTCCGTGATACTTTAAAATACAAAAAATCTTAAATGAACTTGGAATCTAAATTAATTCTTTTCTTTACCTGACAAGAAGTAGTCTCTGAGTTATGGAGATAAAAATTAATTAAATGAACTTAGTATTTACACAAGAGATGTTTTCAGTCAGAAAGTCTAATTTGTATGTTACTCTCATTCCTTTTTTTCCCCCCTCATTCATTTTTAATATAATTCCACCAGAGATAGCTTGTCCAGGTAGTTTGGCATCACTTTTCTTATTCCATTCTTAGGGACTCATTAGGCATGGTATGTGAGCAAGGGATGAAACTGAAGCCCAGACAGTTAAATGGCTCATTTAATGATATACTTGTAATGTACAACAGCCAGGGTTCCTGAATCCAGCCTTTGATTCTTGATATATATCTTATTTTATCTCAGAACTTATGGCTATTGGTTTACTAACGAGAGTTAATTTCTGCCTGTGTCTATGGTATAGTGTTTTCTTTTAGTCCTTAGTGATTACTGGACATTCATAATAGGTAAACGTGGTACTTCAGAGAAGACTTGGCAGCTAACCTGCATCTGGTAAAATACAGATTTTATTGTTTCAGAAGCTTTAAAAAAAAAAAATCACTAAACATACTTAGTTTTGGTTTGTTTTTAGGGAACAGCAGAAACTCATGAGCTAGCAGAAGGCAGTACTGCTGATGTTCTACATTCGAGAATCAGTGGAGAAATCATGGAGTTAGTTCTGGTGAAATACCAGGGCAAAAACTGGAATGGACATTTCCGCATAAGTGATACACTACCTGAATTCTTCCTTGTGTGTTTTTCTTCTGACTCCACACAAGTGATGACAGTTGACCTGTCGGTACATGCCAGGCGGATTGGAAGTCGGATGGTGCTGTCTGTCTTCAGTCCTTACTGGCTAATCAATAAGACGTCTCGGGTTCTCCAGTATCGTTCAGAAGATATTCATGTGAAACATCCAGCTGATTACAGGGATATTATTTTATTCTCTTTCAAGAAGAAGAACATTTTTAGTAAAAATAAGGTGTGTTTTTTTCCCCCCATAAGAAGTTAAAGTAGATAAACTTCTAATCTGGAGACTTGGGAATCATTTATCTCCTCTAAAACAATCCTTACCTATGTGCCAAGTGCTGGTGGGCGAATTAGGTCCAAGGAGACTTTTAAGAAATGTATAATCCAGTGGGGTGTGAGAACAAATGACAGTTTCTTGAGGCTGAATTGCCCCTTCCCCCAATGCCTGTGGAATTACTTCTGTTCTTAAAGGAGTGTCAGATAGAATAGCCTGATTTTATATGCTTTGCCAGCAATGAAATGACATTTCTAAAGATGCAACCCCTGAATATGGCTCCTATTGGCTGTGCCTTCCTATGTATGGAGCACTAAGCCGGGCCTTTGGGAGCGAAGCCTAATGCCTAAGCCTGGTCCTTTGCATTCTGGGCCCTTCTTTCCTCTTTGGATTGTACCTTGGTATTCCTCACCACACACGTTCCCAAGTGCTCACCTCTGGGCTTTTGTACACGCTGCACCCTCAGCCTTGAGTGCCTCTTCCTCCCCATCTCCCTCGTCATTCCTGGCTCTCTGCTGCTTATCCATAGCGTTCTGCTCAGGCCCGACACATGTGAAGATTTTCTAACCATGAAATGGGTCTAGAGAGCCCATCCATGTTCTCTTAGAGTAGTGGTTCTCAAATTTCAGTATCCATTAGAATCATCTAAAGGCCTTAAAAACTGATTGTCGGGTTCTGTCCCTAGAGTTTGATTTAGTAGGTTTGGGTATGGTCTGAGAATTTGCGTTTCTAACAGATTCCTGGGTGATGCTGATGCTGCTCGTCTGAGGACCATGTTGAGAATCTCTGTCTTGGAGTACTGATTAACACATAGTATTGTAATCACCTGTTTATGTGTCTGAGCTCACTTGTCCTTAGGTTTTTAAAAATAATCTAATTGGGTGGATGAGGTTGAAATTAATACAAGGACATAGTTTGATCTTTTTGTAAGACTGTGTCTCAATATTAGAACCAGAAGTAAACTTTTTGCCCTCTCCCTTGATAGCATTTTGTACTTCTTTTTTTTTTTTTTTGAGTTGGAGTCTCACTCTGTCGCCCAGACTGGAGTGCAGTGGCCGCTCCCGGCCACCGCAGCCTCGGCCTGG